GGCCAGGCTGGTGTCAAACTCCTGATGTCAGGTGATCTGCTCACCTCAGCCTCCCAAATTGCTAGGATTGCAGGAGTCAGCCACCACTCCCAGCTTCAAATGGATTTTTATGATTCCAGTCTCTCTTCTCCTGAACATATTCAAGTGGCCTACAAATCTTCAAACTTCATGCTCATCACATCACTCTTTTTCATTAAAACCTTCTATTTTGGCTGAGTGTAGTGGCTCATGCCTGTAATCCCAGCACTTTGGGAGGCCACGGTGAGAGGATCGCTTGAGAACAGGAGCTTGAGACCAGCCTGGGCAACACAACGAGATCCTGTCTCTACAAAACAATTGAAAAATTAGCTGGGTGTAGAGGCAAGCCTGTAGTCCCAGCTACTCAGAAGGCTAAGGAAGGAGGATTGCTTGAGCCTCAGAGTTGGAGATTGCTGTGAGGTGTGATTGCACCACCCACTCCAGCTGTCCTCCAGTCTGGGTGACAGAGTGAGACCCTGTCTCTTAAAATAAATAAATAAATAATACATAAAATGAAAATAAAGCTTGCAATCTAAATTCTTCATGTTACATTCAAGACTCTCCATGAAATTATAACCAACTGCCCCTCCACCCAATTCTTTATTTCTCCAACATCAGTTCTGAGTATTCTAATGGCCCTAACTTGGCCCTGTCCTATACCCAAATTTACTTCATCGTTGTTCTTTACACAGAACATACCTTTGAACACTGTTGTCTTTCAGAGTTTGTGAGCCTCAGCACTAACAACATTTTGGCCGGTATTATTCTTTGTTGTGAGGGACTGTCCTGCACATTGTAGGATGTACAGCAGCATCCCCGACCTCTATTTTGTGACAACCAAAAATGTCCCCAGATATTGCCACGTCTTCCAGGGCAGGGGTAAAAATCATCCCCATTTTAGAACCATTGCTCTGCTTCTATGTTTTTGCCCATATCCCATACCAATTGCACTCTCAGATTACACTATAGTGGTACATAATAGTAATAGGGAATTTTTAGAACATCTACCCCAGATTTAGCATTTGAATCTAAATTTGCTATAAGAATTCTCCGTGTAATTGCCAGGGAGTTGTACAAGAAAATATTGAGTACATTGCATTCATTTCTTGAAAATCATCAGGATAGGATGGTGCTTCATGTTTTCCTTCTTTAAAGGAGCTACATTTTATTAAATGAAAAGGTCTCTCTCACCATAAGTCTTCAGGAAAGTAACAATTTTTCTAAAAAGTCCTCTTTTAGCTATGTGAATTACATTAATCTGTATTTTTACATCTTATATTATCTTGTTTGTCTATATTAGAATACATGTTCTAATTGCAGTGTAGGCGGAAAATGCAGTTCATATCTGAAGCTGTCTATAATTTTCACAAATGTATTCACTAATATGTTCATTAAATGTTAAATAATCAAGTATTAAGTGCTTTTATAATGCATAAAGTCTTAGTAGATTATTAAATACATGTTTAAGAGAGTTTTATTGATTAGTAGAGAAATTGGGGTTTTTGCATGTACTAAGGATGCATTATTAGTTTTCCCATTTACAATATAAATTATTTGCTTCTGCTATGCAAAAAAATGCCTTCTCACATGTTTCCAGGAGTGGATTAGATTTAGATAATTAGGAATGGCTATAGTTACATTACTTGAGCACTTATCTTATGTAAAGCTTTGTGCTAAACATTTCATATACGTTATTTCTTTAAAATAAACACCAGCAGACATACCTAGCAGGGAAAAATAGAGAATAGATGTGAAAAAGAGGTAGAAGATCTCATTTTAATTTTTTTAGAAAATATGTAAGTAATTTTTGTTCTTAATTCTGAGATGAGACAAAAATCTGCCTGTTACTGTAAGGTAGGACATTTGGTTCCCTTACTTTCCAATTTATTTCTCCATCCACTAAATTCTAGCTTTGACCCCCACCATATCACTAAAACTCAGTTTGCCATATTCATCAATAGCATCTTGTGGTTAATCCGATCGGTTTTATTCTTTATTATATGTGATTTCTTGACTTTAACACGTTTGACCATCGGGTCCTTTTAAAAATACTCTGTTCTCAAATGTTTATCCCAAGCCTAAGTTTCTTGCCTCATCTGCAGACCCAATATTCAACTAAACACCAGGCATCACAACTTAGATGTCTTACAGACACACCTATGATTCGATTATGTGACTGAATTCATCACATCTTCCTCCTCTGTTCGCCATTTAAATAAATGGCTTCTTATCACCTCAATGTTTTGAGCCAGAAATAAAGAATGATCCGTGATTTTGTCCTATCCTTTGCTCCTTTACCCAACCAGTCATCAAATCTGTAGATTTTCTGTTTTTCATAGCTCTTAAATGCTTCATTTCTCCATCCTCACTGCTGCCACCTTAGTTTTGAACCTCATAGTCTTTGACTACTTTATGCAGCTATTTCCTAATTGGCCTCCCAGGTGGTCAACTAAGTATAAAAATAAAGTGCTTATTTTCCTGAACTGACCAATCATGTGTGCCAAAATAGATAAGACACCTGACACAGCTGTCAGACAATGCACAACGTGGAACTAGGTACAGCAAGACTGCAGGAAGAAGGCAGTGAGCGTGCTACTAAAGTGCCAGGGGACCTTAGTTTAGGTGAGTGATAAAAGGCAGCCAAATTTGACTACCAGGAGTCATAAGGAAAATACAAAATTCTAAGGCAAGAGAAAAACCAAGGATTAGCAACTACTGAAACCAACCAGAATTACAGACAGAAACCAGGCAGCATCAGCAGAGGGATTTAAGGATTCTGCAGGATATCTTATTTTTGTCCAGGTCGTTTTTCACAAACTAGATGTACACTTGCAGGTTCTTATACAATGGCATCTTGAAAGATGTCCTTCAGCATCTTCCTTGAGATACATGGTCTTAAGAAGTGGAGTAAAATATTTCAACTGTATCCACAGTTAGAGACGATTGTATTGAGTCACAATTGGTCAATATAATAGAAAAACTGAGTAAACTGTTCTGGAAAAAGATAAAATGTATGTCTAATTATTTGTCATTTTTAGCTCCTCTACCTCAACTTCATTCTAGGAGATCTTAAGGCAAAGAACTTTGCCTTTGTCTCGTATATAACTATCTGTTTCTGCTTTGATATCTGCTTAGGCTACATTGGCCTCTCACTTAGTAGAATTTTGCTTCTTTAGATACAAGATTTTGTACAATTTGTTCTTGCTGCTTGCGATTGTATTAGACAAAATGTTGGCATGATATGTTGTTCCTTAGATAGTAAACAGTCTGTGAAAATAATTAGTTACAGATAATGTGTATAGTAAAGGATGTCATTTTAGCTAAAGTAAATACATGGAAATTGGCAGATTCTAAGCAATAAGTTTCTTTAGGCATAAATTAAATTCATGTTTTGAAATATATATACCTACTATGTACCCACAAAAATAAAAGATAAAATAATAATAAAATAAAATGTTTTGTTTTCCAATCGTAACTTCTTGCAAACAATTCTTAGGCTCTGAAAACTACCTTCTCTTAATTTTTTGTGAAAATTTTAATGAAAGTAGATAAAATTGTTCTTTGTCTTACCAAATGTTACAAACTTGTATAGATAAAAATGTGGGGTCACCACATCGTTTGGCTAGTTGATAAATACAAGAAATGTACACAATAGAATATGAAGATTGTATTGTTTTTCAATTTCAAGAAATTTAATCTGATCCAGACAAAATAAACATAAAGATTTGCAAGGTCTGTCTAGCTCTTCATTTTGAAGTGCTAAATACTTTTATATATTGGTTCTGATTATTGTCCATAACTGATACTGTCTGTTTCATTGTTCTCAGGGGTAGCTCTGAATTCTTTTCAAAGATGAAGAATTATGAACAGATTATATAAAATGTTGTTAAGAGTAATTAATAATGATTTTCATAGCAATTAATTAGTAAATTCATTCTATTTATAATTATTTATAATAGTGAAGTAGAAAGTGACTTTATGTTAATGGGTCAATCAGAGAAAAAGCAAAGTTTTTTTTTTTCTGCTACCCAGTGGCATGATGATAGCTCACTGCAGCCTTGAACTCCTGAGCCCAAGGGATCTTCCTGCCTCAGCCTCCACAAGTAGCTGGGATTACAGGTGCATGCCACCACACCCAGCTAATTTTTAAATTTTTTTGTAAAGACAGGGTCTCTGTCTGTTGCCCAGGCTGGTCTCTGGCTCCTATCTTCAAGCAGTCCTTCCACCTCAGCCTCCCAAAGTGCTGGAATTACAGGCAAGAGCAACTGCACCTGGCCAGAAAGCCTTTATGTTTTTGGGAGAATAGGTATGTGGAAATTTAATAGAGGATAAAACCTGTTAAATATATCATCTAAATGGCTTGACCATAGATATTTGTTTCACATTTCTTCTGAGAAGACAATATTTTTAAAATTATAATATTTTCTACATCCAAATGGTTCGGCACTGACAGTTATCCCAACATTAACACGGTAAAATACCATAAGGAGCAACTCACCGATAGTACCTAATGATCTGATTCTCTATGAGCTAAAAAAATAAAATAAAATAAAAAGTGTATTTGCACAGACAAGGTGATGTCAGGTTTTATTAATAAAATTATGAAGTGCTTGAATCAACTAACATGTACGTGGTTGATACTGACATACCACATTAGTTCCTAGTCTTCTGTTGTTTTCAGTAAAACCATCTTATATTTTTACCATACATTATAGTTTGCAGAAAGATTTCACAAAAATTATCACACTGGATTCTAAAGAGAATCCAATGAGATGGGTAGGGCAAATTTTTGCCAATGTATGCTAATAAGAAACATAGACTTCTAGAATGTGGCCATAACATATCATAAATATGATGCTGATTCATATCTCCCCACAGATTAGGAGCAGGGAAGGGATGAGAAGTTAATTGAGCTGAGCATCTCAGCAACAGAAAGTCACAGCTGAACAGCAAGACATGATTCCACCGAGAAAAGAAATCACCTTGGACAGAGATCTTCATCTCAACACCAAAAGGCCCTTTTGAGTTTTTCCAGCAAAAGAGTCCCCAGTTCTAGGAAGCCAAGAACAGGGCAAACTCTTTGTGTATCAGCTTCCAAACTGCTTGATTTTGGATCCCTTCTCACATAGTCTGAAAGGAAAGAAAGGGTACTTATTTCATTAGATTGTATGAAACATCGGAAATAAGGTAGGATGGGAGTGGTGCAATCTTTTAAAAGTCTTTTGAAATCCTTCATCACTGAACTGGTTCTGGTTAAAACTAAAATTCTGAGCTAAGAGATTAAACAAAAGAAAACAATATCACAGATACTGTACAAAAAGGAATAGTTCATGTATCTGAAGAGCTCTTTAATCCTAACCATAGTCAAGAAATAGTTGAAGGGACTTGCTTAAATCAGTTTCACTTCAGAATTAAGTCAATGTCTGGGTCACTGACCAACATAAATAGCAGAAAAAAAATTGTTAGTTAAATAATGAAGTGACAGGAGTGAAGGAAGGTGAGAGGAAAGAAGACGGTAAAATGAAAAACAGAAAGCATGAGCAAAGGACAAAGGAAAAGTAAAATAAGTTGAATCTTTCTCATTTTTTCCACCTTGCTAAAACATCCAGAAGAAAGACTATAACCATACTTATTGTATAAAGGTTTAACATGCAGGAGTTAGTTACACATCAACATAAGACCAGTTAGACGTTTATTTCAAGGTCAATGACACATTTTTCTTATTGCAAATCTTACATTCAGAAACCTAACTATGAGGTATGAGAATTGACCCTGGCAAAAAGAAAAACATTTTAAAAATCAAAAATATACCTAATTCTCTAAATAAAAATGTTTTTATCAACACATTTTAAATATAGAATCTCTAAAATCAGAACAATAAATTTAAGTCATAATATGGTAAGATGGAAAAATATGCTTTTCAGGTAATATAAAACACATGCATTTCTGCATTCACAAACATATTCCACTTGCTAAATAGATTTTGGTTTCAATTTTATTGACATATGTTTAATAAACCCAAAGTTCTAAGCATATTCTTTTAGTAAAATGTCAATGTGCACATATATTCGATTTGCTTCCAGTCTTTTTTCCCATATGTTTGTTGGCTTTTAACTTAGTCCCTGAGGTTCTTACAAGTTATTTTCTCCTCCCTTGAGATGGGGACTGATCTAACTCAAGTTATGCACCTAAAAACTTAGTCGCAAGTGAAAAATAGAACAATAAAAATAACAACCTGGAGTTATCTCAGTTATGTGCTCTGCACCAAATAAGACACTTCATTAGGTAAATCAGTTAATAGTGTTTTATTTCAGAAAAGTCTCAATATGATGTTTTTGCACTTCATTATGGATTTTAATAAATTTTTTGCTGAAACAAATTGAAATTTATCAGCCTATGTAGTGATATCCACCAGAGGCAAATATAAAGGGAACTTCTCTTTGGCTAACAACATCCTCCAGTGAACATCGCCATTCCATTTTTGTCACACGTGGTGGTAAAGAAAGGGAAGAGAAAAATCTTTAGAGATGTTGTGACAGAACACACAATTATGAAGTCAAAATGCTTGGTGGAGAGATCCTATTTTCTCTAGAAAAAAAAGTATCTTTCAACTTACCTCTGTCTCAAACAATTGGTCATATTCTGACGTTACTTTAGTCACCTGTCCTAAATCACACAGTTTGTAGTACTGCTAGAGAAAGAATCTGAAACTTGTGATGCTCACCTCATTCAAGACTGTATATTTTTTAACAGGAAAACATGGAAAATGGTTTTGAATTAAAACAGGGTTCATAAACATCAACTAGGGGTTGAAGAAGGCTGTCTGAATATCCAAATTCTTTACATTCAACTATGCATGGTCCCAGTTGCCTAGATAACTCTGAAACCTAAAGTTTGAAATTTTTGGTTATTAGCTAGCATCCATTCTGATTCGTTGCTAAATCTATTTTAATCAGTCTATTTATATTTAACAGTTCTACATATTTGTTTTAGAAACAAGGTCACCCAGGCTGGAGTGCAGTGACACAAACGTGACTCACTGTAACCTTTAACTCCTGGGATCAAGTGATCTTCCCATCTTAGTATCCTAAGTAGCTAGGACTACAGGCATGTGTCACCATGCTTGGCTTTTTTTTTTTTTTTGTCGAGATGGGTTTTTGCTATGTTGCCCAAGCTGGTCCCAAACCCTTGCACTTAAGCAATTCTCTCACCTTCGCTTCCCAAAGTTCTGAGATTATAGATGTGAGCCACCGTGCCGGGACTTAACAGCTTTATTGACCTAAATTTGATATGTAATAAACTGCTCATATTTAACTACATAATTTAAATATATCTCTATGTATTCACTTGTGAAGCCATTACCACAATCAAGATAATGAATGTATCCATCACCACCCCCAAGGTTTCCTCGTGACTCTTTGTAATTCCTGCCTCCTGTCCCTCCCCAAAGATAAACGCTGATGTGTTTTTGTCCCTATACATTAGTTTGAATCTCCTAGAATGTTAAATAAATGATTTGTGCTCATTTTTGTCTAGCATCTTTCCCTCAGAATAATTATGTTGATTCTTCCATGTGTAAAATGCAAGAGTGGTTTATTCCTTTGTATTGCTGGGTAATATTCCCTTGTTGAACTATACCATGATTTGTTTATCTGTTCACTTGATGATGGACTGTTGTCTAAATTTTTAGGGTTATTAGAACTGTGCAGTGTTGAGCTTTAGATGAGTGTACAACTATAACTGCATTTTGCCTATTTTTCTAAGCCTAGTTAGCAGTTCATCATAATGTAATCCTTTAAAGGACTATTTCTATTTCACAAAATGTTAACATCTTAGGGTTTGCAAGCTATTGCACTTTTCCCCCCTTTAATTTAGGCTGGGTCTATATATTAAATGAATTTGTCAGCCTAGTCAGTCAACAGTGTTTGAGAGACCTGAATAGCCAAATTAGAAAAAAGGATTGCAAGTTTATCTGAGATCCTTGAGAATGAAGATAATTTTCCACTGAATTTCATTGATTCTTTCCTTACTTAATCTTTTGTTTCTATTTGTTTGAGGAAACTATGTAAAGCTTAGATGTTACTTTTTTAAATGAAAATTAATTACAGTCATATTTATAACTAAGCTAAGAGTAAAATATATTTAGATAGGGGGAAATGCATTTTTATTTTCTAATTTCAAGAGGTATTTTTAAAACTAAGAATTTTTTTTTTTGGAATTGGAAAAATCTATTGATGTTATTGTTTTAACTGAAGGGTGTAAGGCCAAGATGAGGCAGATTTCTAATTTTACTGATTGGCACTATAGGAAAATGCTCATATTTCACAGGTATCCCATTATTAATGGCCAATCCCATAGTCCTTTTTTATTCAGAACTCCTACTGGAAGTACCATATGAGAAAGAAATGCAGGATGAGACCCTATTATTGTAACTCACAAGACTAATTATGACTTTGAGTTTTTCTGGATAAGCTAATTCTTTTTGCACTCTGGGATCAGCAAGTACGAAAGTAGTCTCATAAAGACTTCACTGCATTTAACATTATGTATATTTACAAATAAATTCAGAGACATTAAACAGTACTTCAGCTTTCCATTTTCTTTGTAGTTTGTTTTTAAAATTATAAAAAATTTAAAGAAGACAATGCCACAGGTGTAGTTTTACTTTCAAAATAATGATAAGGCACACATCAGTCATTTATTTTTTGGCCTTGACTCATCTGTTTTAAATAGACTTTATTTTTATCAGCATCACTAAGAAGTAAGACTAAGGAGGGACATGGGAAAACAAGGATTAAAGAGAAATTGAAAGAGAAAAGAATGATAGACAAATAGGAGTTGGAAGGAAAAGACAGAAAGAGAACCACTTGTATATAAAAGAAGACTGGCAGGAGGGGCTTTACTTAATTTTCATTTTTATTTGTGGAGAGCTTTGTGAATGACATAAAATGATTAGATATTCTTGAATGATTTAAAAATCTGTGTTTGATTTTCTGTCTTGACAAATCTCACAGTCACTGATTACAGAGTTTTCTATGATGTCACTATCAACAAATCCCTCCAACAGCCTTTTTAATTCAGTTTCCCATTATACTTCTATATGAGAGGGAGACTCTTTGTGTACTACATAATTTCTATGTTGTGAGGTTTCTTGTCTTCAGATACCTCCAGTGTTATGCTTTAGTCGGAAAACTCACATCGCATTCAAAAAGGAAAATGCAAAGCAATATAGACTTTTGTGCCATTTACAAAGAATTAGAGCTGTGTGCCCCTACCAATATAGCAATATATTATATAGGTCAATACTCCTTTTCACATGCCTTTAATGCAGATACATTTTATAAGGTAGAACAGCAAACACTGAATCACTCTAGTAGAGATGCACAAAACAAGTAATTATAGTTAGTTGCAGAAAAATAATTATGCAGTTGTGTGTTGAAAACCAGTTTTTAACTGGGAGGGGAAATTCCACCAAAAAAGCATTTGGAAAAGCTAAATGTTGTGCTCTGGGAAACTTCCAAATGCAGCTGTATCACCAAAGAGAGGTACCATACTTTTCTTTCTTAATAGCACATTGTACAATGGCACATTGAATGTAATACAGTATGCTCATGTACAAGGCACATATAATTACTGCTATTTTCTGTTGACTTTTCTGTCTAAGTGACCATTTTCTCTATTACCAATTCATCTAATATTTTAGAAAGAATACCCTTTATTGTCACTTAATGCTTACCAGGTAGTCCTTGATTATGATTAAATAGACACCAAGGATCACTAAGAGTTCTTATTTGGTGTCAGCTATTACTATCATAAATGTTACTGCATATTCCAAGTGTTCAAGATATATAAAATAGCATTTAATATAGGGAAAAAAGCAAACAGGGCTTTATTTATAATGCGGCATATTTTTCTATACATTAGAGAGGACATCAATGAAATGTGTACATTTCCACAGACGGTATTTATCTCAAACATCTATAGTGTTCATTCTGCTCTTACATACAACTAACCCTCATTGAAGCCAAGAGGATTTTGCTTCTTTACTGTTAAGCATGACTGTTCTGGGCCTTTTAACTAAATCCACTACCATGAATGAAGTTAGAGCAGAAACAGCAAGTGCAGCTACA